GTCGCCTGTGTCCGTCTCCATTTCCTCTCCCTTCGCAGCCGAATTTCCCACGGGAGAGCCGGCAATATRTCACGTACGGCTGGACCGAGCTGTTTCCCCGCGGGGAGAAAAGAGTTGCTTGSGTTTGTTTGGGTTCGTTTGTTGACGGCTGGATGTTTTTGCGGGGTGTGTGTTGAGGCCACCAGCATTGTTGTGTCCAGCCAGGAGCTAAAACTTGTCTTGGACAATCCACTCTTGATTACGGACRTCAGATTATTATCATATTCCTCTGCAGGCTGTCTAAATGTTTGGTTATGGTAACTRTGTTGAGTTCGAACTCGGCTTGGTCTGTATCTGTTGGTTTATCCTGATTTTGTTGTTGTACCGCAGCTCCAAGGCTGTTCTGGGTGATCTTGCTGAGCTCCTGAACCTTGGCCGCTCTTCCTTCCCCTCTGGCTTTTTATTCACAGATACTCGGGGACATTAAATATYTGTACCTAGCTCAGATCAGCCTCTTTCTAGATGTGTCTTTTCCCCTGTTTGTTTGATAATGCCCAGCGTCTCCTTCTTTCCTGCTGAGCAACAAATATTCTTAGGAAACTCCCTGTGAGCATGGGTGTTTTTCCCCCATGCAGTGGTCAACACAAATTGGAAATGTTTGTATTCCTTTTTTTTATCTACCAGCTTACAGATTTGTCTGGCTTTTGGCATTGTGGGAGCTTTCTGCAACTGCCAACAGCTTTAATTTTACCATCCTGGAAATCTGTGCTCTTTCCCAAAGGATTATCAGCCAGTTTTTTTGCATATCTATTCCTCTCTTCTTCCATCTAGTTGTTGTGAATTTACTGAATGGACTCTTTTTTCACTATGGATTCATCCTAGATTCTTTTAATCTAATTAATTATTTTAATTAATTTTTTTTTAATCTGCCATAGTCCATGTTAGTATCCTCAGAAGGCTTTATGGAGGACGTTTGTGGGAGCATTTTGGGAGCGCTGGTGCACGGTGTGTTTTCAGATAAACCAGTTGTCTGTGTGAGTCAGCTCTAGCAGGTGTCTCACAAATGAGGTGGAACAAAAAACCAAACCAAAAAACCACCCCAAAAACCCCAACTGCTGGCTCTGTCCAATGTGTTATAATTAACGTGTGAACTCATTTACAAGATAAGCCTGAGCAGCCTCACCTCCTCAGAASCAGTGACAGGGACCAGGCTTTTAAAGTAGAAGGGTTTCTCTTGCAGGTTAAAAAGTAGTTCTGTTATATCTTGTAAACTGCTCTAATTAGTGTTTCTGTAGCTGGTGGCAAAGAAAGAAACATTCAGTGGTGCTGCTGAGACACCATTTTGCTCTTTGAAGTCACTGCTGTTTCTCTCAGCAGGTTTGATGTGTTTAAGGCAAATTGACTTCTCATGTCTGTCCAGTTGGGAAGTGGCTGCCCTGTGAATGCCTCTTGAAACCTGTGAACCCTTAATTTTCACTTCTTTCCCTAAACCAATGTCAATAATCCTGACCACTGGTGTCTGGACTGACCTTGGATGTCATGAAACATTGTGGGAACTGGCAGTGGAATTCAGAAAACAGTCTTCAAAGAGACTTTAACAGGGCATGTGCATTTATTTTTATTAACAAAATTCGGTGCTTCTCTCATGCCTGGTGTTTCTTTCCCAGAAAGGATGATCCTTATTTGCATGTGGGAATGTTTTTTTCTTGGTGGAGGGTTTTTTTGGGGGTGTAATGAATACAGGGGTAGGGCCAGTATGATCTGTCAATCAGTGAATCAGTGCTGGGCTTGGAGCCTGTCACTAATGGGAGCTGGTCCTGTCACCCCAAAAGCCATTCTCTCATTTCCTGCCGGTTTTCCTCCTTTCTGCCCCCCACCCCCTCCACTCCCAGTGTGATTTATGGAGTGAGCAGGAGCAGGTGAAACTGGATGCAAAGGCTGACTSTGGGTGATGGCGCTGGTGTAAATACCTGAGAAATTACAGGGCACTTCCTGGCAGAGCTGATTCAGAAATCCTCGTGGCTTCTGGGCTGGAGACAGCCGTGGGTCATGGACAGGGATTCCCTTCAGTGACGTGTTCAGATGCTTTTTAAGAACCAATTGGGCTTCAGCAGTTCAGAAGGTAACAGCAGAGAAAGATCTGCCTTAGCTGAGTGCCTCGTCTACAAACTTGGAAGGCAAGTGCTATCCAAAGTTATTCTCAGAGTGGGATCACTCCTACCTTCCYGGTTTTTAACCAGTCACAGCATGTCTGGTGGCTTCAGTGCAGTGTTGCAAAAACACTTAGAGCTTCATGTCTTGCCCTGCATCCCCCCACCCATTTCCCTCCCTGTGGAGAGGTAGGGACAGGAGCTGCTCRGTTTTACAACATTARCTTTTAATTAAGTTTCTKATTCCTGCTTTTCAACTTATTACTRTGGCTGTCTGAGCAGACACCTGTACCAGAATCCATTTTAAAGGTAACTAGTTTAAAAAGTGGAGTTTTTGAGTTGAACCTGAGTGTCTCGTGCTTGGAAAACCATTGAGARAGGAAAGGAAAAGGAGGCATTTTTGGCTCAAATTTGAGATTCGGGATCTTGGAGAGGTGTTGAGTTTGGGGCACTTCTCTGACAGCGGAGGAAGGAATGTTCTTTTCAAGCTTTTTCAAAAATATTTTTTTTAAGCACCCTGTTAGTAGTAACTTCTGAAAAGTTGTGTTGGTGTCTCCTGTGAGGGTGTAGGTGGAGTGGTCTGTTCCGTAATGAGAACAGTGTGTAGGAAATGGAGGCCTCCTCAAATTCCCTTCTCCTGGGGTTTGTAGGCTGAATTTCTGGCTGTTTTTTCAGTCACTACAAACGTTTTCTGTGTAGCTGTTTATTCTAATTCAGAAATGGTACAGGTCTGCAGGTATGATGAATTGTTTGGGGTTTTTTTGTTTGTTTTCTGGAGGAAGAGCTGCCTATTGGAAATTTGCTGTGTATTGTATAAAAACCTCCCCTCCAGTGAGGAGCTTGTTGCCGATGTGCCTTTTTTGTGACCCTTGGGTTTGAACTCCCCACAGTGCCACTGTCACAAAGCAGATTTTCCCTTCCTCGTCTTAACAAGAAAAGATTTAACAGCAAAACCCTCTTAGAGATTTTGTTTGCCATTCCCTGGAGGAATTGCTGTATCTGGGGCAGCAGGAAGCCATTCCTTGTGCAGTGTGCTTTAGAGACATTTTATTTGGGGACTGGCTCCTGTGAAATCCACAGCTCCAGTAAKGTTTCTAGAGCTGTAGGGGGAAAGAACAGCCCAGAAAGTGACCCACATGCAAAACATTAATGTTTCTGCTGCTGCGAGTCTGACAAGTCCAACTCTGAGTGTGCGGGGGATCAGGGATACAAATATAAAAGGATTTCACTAACAGTAAGTGTTTYTTATTTCTAATAAATAACCACTTCTTGCTGCACAGGTAGAACTATATTTTGCCTTCTCACTTCTTAATATTCGTTTGGGGACCATTTCAAATCCTGATTCTTCATGGCAGGAGGCCAAGGTGTTAATGACAGTGATTCTGTGTGTTTGGCTTGGAGGCTTTCAGTCCTGTGATCTGCACACCTCGATGCAGGTGGAGTGGAAAATCAATTTGGAGATTCAGACCAGGCACGAATGTGTTCTTAGAATGGTGTTTTCAGAATTTCAGAGCTGAGGAAAAATAATCTGAGCCATCTGGGGTGAGCCATTGGGAAAAGGGCTGAATGTTATTCACAGGTTATGTGTGACAGTGCTGCCTTCCTGGCTGTCAGGCGAGCGTGCTCTGGCCAAACTCTTGTAGCTGTTCCMCATGAAAAGGGTTTAATATCAAATTGACTTGTGTGGTGTATTTGGTGTTAGGTGGGATTTTGRTTTAGCAGGGTGATACAGCAACATGCTGAAATCACAGCACAGTCATAACACAGTGATAGCAGTGTATGGTTGAATGCAAATCCAGATGTGGTGCCTGTTCCTGGTCTCCGTGTGCTCACTTGTCAGGGTGCTTGGGAAGGAATACACAGATTGAAGCCTCCTATGCTTCCTTCAAAATTTACTTTTTAAATTGTCCAGTATTTATATTTTGGGCTCAGCCATGTCTGTGTTTCCCCCATGTTTGTCTGGCTCTCTCAGGAAGATGTGATTCTTTGTTTTCTCAGGGCACCTGACAGWTCAACGGTGCAGGTGTCTTTTCTCAACCAAAGGTTACCCTCCAGCCTCCCTGGGGCTGAGATAAATTCAGCTTTCTTTACAACACATTCTTCCCCAAGCTCACTGGTGTTTGCCCTCCACTGCGGGGTGCTGGTCAAGCACTTTGCCCTGGATGGATTTACTGGAGAAGAAAGTCCAGGCATTGACAAACTCCTTTCTCCGGAGTGATGTCCCCAAGAGACTCCCATTAGTGCTCAGGATGTGCTTTAGGGGGCAGATGGGATCCACACAGCAGGGCTGGACTCTCAGTGCGTGTTTCACATGTGGCAGCCTGGGGAGCTGTGCCGGGGCTGTGGTTGGGGAGTGCAGTTTCTGCACAGAAAGAATCTGCTATTGAAGGAATTGAAATAATTAGGAGCTCCAAGTCTTGAGCTAGTGCATGTCCYTGAGTGACCCACGGTCCATGAGGGGCTCTGAGGCTCAGTGCTTGTGATTCTGGTAGAATGGCAAAAAAAAAACATGGATCGAAAGGTGTTCTGGGCTGTTGTAAAGTCACATCATCAGCCTGCTTCCAGCCACGTTATTGTGTTCAGASCAAGGCACAA